AGTTCAAGTCAATCCAGCAGCAGCTTAGTGGACTCAAAAGACTCAAAAAACATAGCCCTCAAAAAGCAACAGGCTCTATTCAGGGTGGACAGACGTCTACACTGGGATGTCCTTTTAACCCCTGATATAACTACACTACACTTACTGTACCATTTAAATGTATTTATATATACTGTAAATTAAAGTATTTAATTACTTCATTCATTGAATTGTTTTATAATACTTCATGTTATCTGGTTGTTTACTTTTATCTTTCCTGATTGTGAAGCAGTTGACCTTTGTATGTTGTTACTATTTTGACATTTCAGCTGCTTTCAGAGGATACACTTCAACTAACAGTTCAACTGTAATCAGCCCTTTTGCTTAAGTCATTGCAGAGACTAATGTAATCAGTCAGAACTGAGACCTCAACTCATTTCAGTGCTTACATTGAACTTCCTGTTCTGGTCATTACGTTCATTCAAATGTTCCAATTTGAAGCTGGATTTCTTATTATATTTCATGTCATCCTGATAATTACTTTTATTTGACTTGATTGTGAAGCACTTGACCTTTGTATTTAGTTATTACTATATAACGTCATCTGGATCCAATCTGCCTGATTTAGTTATGATTCGTAACCTGGCAAGAGAAGATAGGAAGTAAAACTGAAACCCAGCTCTGTCTATCTGCATTACATAACTGTCAAAGTCCACCACTAACAGCTGATAAGTCAAAGTGAAGGCAACACTGCTATCAGAAACTACAGAATCACAGTTCTTTTTCTAATGTGACTGATCATGTTTATTTGTAAAGGAAAACTAAAGGATCTCATAGCAGTTTTAACATGTATTTTGCCTGTTTCATTTTCAGTGCAGTATCTCCCATTCCTATTTTCAGGTTTTTAGTAACTTATTAGTAACTTATTTTAGCCAATGGGTACATGCTTCCCAATGTATAGTTTTGATCACGTGTGATGAAGCAAACAACGATTTAGGAGATGTAAAAATTGTGAAATATGATTTTGTACAAAAGATTGTGCATCCCAAAAGAGGAAACCAAAGCTAAACCTTAATGAGTAGTGTTTCTACCACATGCACCTACCACTCCTCTGAAGGATGGAGGAATCAGCCCACAGTAGATGGGAATGAAACAGCTGCAGATCAACGCCTGTGGACAGAGCGCAGGATTAAAACAGAGGATATTTATTTAATTCACCAAACTTTATTGCAATAGAGGCCCAATAAAGGCTTCTCCAGATTTATAGGATAACCATGTCACCACCTGCCCACACCTGGATAAGTTCCTCTTTGGAGCTAAACTCAGACACCAGCACGTTCTCCCCGTTAGACACCTTGGTCAGCGAAATACACAGTCGCCCCGAGGCCAGGACATGTGCGTCAGAGGGCAGGTCACGATTAAGGCCAGACTTTAGCACCTTGATCAGGTTGAAGGTAGGGTGAAGGGGGCCCAAGTTCCTCTTCCTGGCCTCTTTAGCCACCTCGATCACATCTTCACAGCATTTAGCTAAAAATTTGAAGAAAACGGTTTAGTTTAGGCTCAAGAGATGGGACTTTGAGGCTATACCTCTACCCTTGCAGGTATATGACCTGCAAACAAAAACACATTTCTGCAACTGGATCAATATTCACTAGAGCTACCAGGAGTCAGTGACCAACAGTGACCTAGGTGAGCCCTCTTCCGAGTACTGAGCCCGTGCTGAGGTCGCTGCAGCCAGTTGACAGTGACACAAAAGGTCGATCTGCATTCTCACGCGTTTACTCTACTGATGCCTGGCCTTGGGATTGCTTATTCACAAGAGAGAAAGTAACTCACAGTGGCTACAGCAAGAGCAGGCATGTTCTCTTACGATCAAATGGTTCCACGCCACTGTTTTCCATTTAAATGCGTTGCCATTGTATGCCTGTTATACATACTGTCTATAGGCCTACTTTAAATATGACGGTGACTGATTATGTCATATGATATGCTGCATCTACCAACACTTTGTTTACACTGCTTTGAACACTGTAAGTATAATTATGGCCTAATAATTGGGCTCAACAGTGAATTTCAATTTATATTTAACTGAATGAATTTATATAGCAAGAAGAACTTACTGTATATAAACCTATATTCACATGCATTTATTTTGATGTAAAATAATATATTTCAAAACTTTAGTTTAGTTTAATTAGTCTACTATACGTTACTAACATTCACATTACATAATGTTTTGGCTGCGAAATCCCTCTTTTTCAGGAGAAATTTATATAATGGTAAATGGTATAATGACAAATATATTTTGGGTCAGTTTCAACAAAACGTTACTGAATTCTACTAATATTTAATAACAGTTTACTCACACCAATAACTCAACTGAAAGGAGGTGAACCCATATTTGTATATTTACACGGTATATATTTATATTAGCTACACTGATATCAGTGTAGTTCAACATGTTTGAAATTCCTGCAGCAGGCATTAAAAACGATATCAATAACAAAAATAATACAGGACTTCCGGTGTCCTCCGCATTCTGCGTCAAGTGTGCAGAAAGCTCCAGGCCACCGAGCCACAGCGGCGCGTCTTACCCAGAGATGCCTGGGTGGCGAGCACCGAGGCGGTCAGAGCCCCGGCAGAGGCCCCGTACAGCTTGGTGGCCCCTTTGACGAGGTAGGGCGCTTTCTCCAGCAGGCAGCTGGAAACTCCAATATGGTAAATCCCCAGGAACCCGCACCCTGCGAAGGACAGGTTCCAGCCGCGGTTTAGGTCAAACATGGCGGGGCATGCCCCGGCTGGGGAACCGTGAGAGCGGAGTGTGCTGCTGCGGAGAGGGGGGCGCACAGCTGTCACCCTGCCCGGCCGACAGAAGCGGACTGCACTCCGCATATTGAGCTCTGGCTGTACAGGGAAGCGCGGGGAGGTCGCACTGCTAATGTTGCCTTCAGGTGCTGTCAGAATTATTAGAACGCTGACGTGAAAGTTGCTGGCTACTTCCATAGATAGACGATAGGATGTAGATTTTATAAAAGCCTTAGAGAAAACTACAAGTTCGCCAAAATGTCTGACAACGTGCCATGAATCAGATCGTAATGCCGTAATGTTATTTACAAACCATAAGATTCACGAGGAACAGTAAAGGCAACATGTGTTGCTGAGAACATGATTGGATTAATGCACGTATATCGTTTCTGGTTCTACACAAGAGCCAATCAACAGCAAGTGGGAAAGGCGACTGGCTGTGACGTCACGCCACCAAAAAAACCGCTGTAATCCCCCCACCCCTTTTAAAAGGAGAGAATAATGAATACCTAAGCATCACTAGCCAATATCTACAAAATTGGATTGACAGGAATGTCATTTTTCTGTCAGACTTACTAAATGACGAAGCTCAACTTCTCAGTTACGAGGCATTTCTTAAATCTAAGCTGTTTCCCCAAAGCTATCCCCAAAGAAATCCTCCAACTTATGAAATGCCATTTTGAAACACAAGAAGTAGCCTACAGGAATCCAAACCTACCGTCTTCATTAATGGAATAGATATCGTTAATAACAAATGTAAAAATGTAAGGAACTTTCTCTGCAGCAAAAGAAAAATAACTCCCCGGGGGAAATATGTATGGAATTCCAAGTTCTCGAATATCCACTGGGAAACAACATGGCTTCTCCCATATGAATTTGATATACAAACAAATTGAAAGAAATGCATTTCAAACTTAACGTCTACCCTACTAACAAATTGTTGTCAAAATTTGTGGAAACTGATGATAAATATAAATTCTGTAAAGATGAAGTTAAGATGATTCAACATTTATTCTTTGAATTTCGGTACACATTGGAATTCTGGAAAAAATTGAGGACTATTTTATAACTCAAACCAATCAGTCAATGAAACTAGAAGCCAAGTAATATTAAAACAAAAATTTGTTAGATTGTTAACTTATTAATTTTATTAGGTAAGTACCACCTCCATAAGACCAGGTTCTCAGTGTCCTGGCCATCATTTGAATCCTTTAGAATAGAAATCAGAAGGTATATTGAGTCTATCCATTCTATAATAAATGTCCATCCATCCATCATCAACCCCTTATCCTGCGTACAGGGTTGCGGGGGGCTGGAGCCAGTCCCAGCTGGCATCGGGCGAAAGGCGGGGTACACCCTGGACAGTCTATAATAAATGTGCTTATAAAAATAGAATCTTGATCCTGCTGCCTACAGTTTTAAGCCATTATTTTATTTCTTGCACTTTATTTATTTCTTTTTTGATATCTATTCATTTGTTTCATTTACTTTATACCTATGTTTCTATTTATTCACTGATATATAGCCTAGTAGAATTTATTTCCTTGTATCCCTTTGTTGACTTTCTCATGTTTGACTTTTGTCATAATGCGATGTTTTTTTTGCTTTTATGAAGGAAAGTGAACTTATGTGATATACCGCCTGTTATGAAGCATAATTCTGTTACTATGCTGTGAACTAAACATAATAAAGTTGAAAAAAACAAACAAAATAAACTGTAACATTGTAAGCATTGTGGTATATGACTGGTAAACTGTATGCATCATCATGAAGAGCTTACTCACAGCGGTAACCATTTTAAAATATAACTTTGTGTTGTACATAGGTGCTGTGTTATAAATACAATGGGACTAATGGGACTATAGACTTTTGCATTATATAACTCATAATACCTTATAAGCTGTACATGACATGAAGTTATACGCCTTACTTGTATTATACCAGCATGATACTTAATAAATATCAGATACACTATATGAGCCGACAAAGCAATAGAATATTACAGGCCTGTACAGTGGAGCATGAGGCTCATAGGACTGTTACATCACATATAGGATTATTACAGCAGCCATATGGTAATATTTTGTACTGGAGCGTGTATTTCTGTGTAATGGGAAACATGTTTCCTCTGCGGGCACGCGCATCCTCGACCCGGCGAGAGTGGTCCTGATGCTGGGACTCGCGCGCATTACATCACTTCTCACCCGCGTGATTGGCTGTAGGTCAACTTTCCGCCTGCCGCGCAGCATCCACCGCGAGCTACAGCATCCCGAAGCGAGCGGCAGCTCATCCTCACCATCAACCTCATCTTTGATTTCATTAAAAAAAAAACTGTTCGCGTAGGTGTTCGCGGGCGTTTTCTTTTTCTTGCACTGGCGGCTCATTTCGAGGATGGCCGAGAGCGAGGCAGACACGCCGAGCACGCCGATTGAGTTTGAGAGCAAATATTTCGAGTTTGATGGAGTGCGGCTGCCGCCCTTCTGCAGAGGGAAGATGGAGGAGATCGCCAACTTCTCCCTCCGAAGTAGCGACATATGGATTGTCACCTACCCAAAGTCAGGTAAACGAGCCTCTGCGTCACCCTCTGCACAGTGCTGGCCGTGTGTCAGATTTGGGCTGCAGTGGTGACTGCAGGCTTCCCTTGTGACTATTAAACATATAGAATATAAGTCAAACACAGAGCGAGCACGGTTACTGCGTGTATTTGCCTAGTTGTTGGTTCGTTTATCGCAACGGCAGGCCACAGCCATTAAAGTTGTAATCACAGTTATCTAATGTAGCCTCCTCTAACGTCTCTGTTACGTGCAGCAGGAAGTAATTCTAGGCCTCTAGTAGACAGGAGCCAGCGTATATGTCATAATCAGATGCCCATAAACTGAGCGCTATCACACACAGATGGAAGTTGGTGTTTACGTGCATCTTCGGAATGCCATTGCGCAGCACTGCTGCAGACTGGATGCCGTGCGCGGTGCCCTGCTGTGCACTGGGTGGGTCCGGTCATGTGACGGCTGGTGGGCAGCTGGAGCTCGCTGGATGTGCATGCAGAAGGGCAGAGGGAGATTGATTATAGTGGTGGGAATTATATTTCTTGTGGATTAGCATCTCAGCAGCAAAAGGACACCTGTACTGTTGTCATCATCAAATGGAATCAACAGGAAACTTGATGGCAATTTCATCACATGGCCTTTCTAATTAAAGAAATTATAGGCCTATGATAATACAAGTGCCCTAAACACTCTGGCCATGGCCATGGTTTTCAAGTCTCTGGTACAATGATAACCTATTCACAGTCACTGACAACCAGCCCAAACATAGAGGGTTTAATGAGTGAAAGTACAGTGTACAACTTTATTAGAACAATCAATAATACTTGAGTTCAGTTGCATGAATGAATTGTGTATTTGTATGCAGATGTTATAGATTGGATAGCAGAGGTTTGCTGCATCATACTGCAGTACACATTCTGTTACATGAAAGAGAAAGCAGTAGAGCCAAACTCTCCTGTGTGTAAGACCTGGCCTTAGAGACTAGCTGGAGAACATAGTGGAGCATTTGGCAGCTAAAGAGCCAGATATTCCCCCAGTAGCTGGTGGAGCTAAAAGTAGTATATACTGTACTGACATTCACTGGGTGGCCAGAAAATTGACTTCAAATAAATGCTAGTGTTGCTCTGTGTCTGCTCGATGAGTAAGCAAGCCATTGTTTGCTAACACAGTGCAGTTAGGTATACCAGTGCTGTGTTTACAGCTTGTTCTGCTGCATCAACATGGCCAAAAAATTTAATTTTCTTTGTAATTCTGAGGTATACTGCGCTAGTATTTTTTGATTAAGTTCACATAAAATTATTGAGGAAAAGGTTTAGTAATATTTGTTAATGTATTGGTATAATTTTGATCATTTTGATTTAGCTCAGTGCTAAAAAGAAGTCTAGCTGATGTGGGAATTATACTTCTGCAAAGATAAATGTCTTTGTAAAGCTACACAGATAAGCTATTATGGGTAACTGAAGGTTGCAGAGGCAAATCTCAACAATACGTTGTGTGGTGCTGGGTGTCAAACAACATTGGCTAATACAACTTGCTGCTGGGAGACAATTTAGAAATAGAACACTGTAAGTTAACTGTACACACTCATGTTACACCCAAAAATATTATAAAAACAGAAACACAAATGTTTCCCAAGAAAACGGAATACATTTGAACTAAATCCAGTGCGATGCTTAGACTTACTAGAAGTGCCCATATTAACAAACATCAGGATCACAGCCAGATTATGAAATGGCCGAAGAGTCAGAGGAAACTCACATCCACTCCCACAAAAGACATTTCTAGGGAACGATGGTCTGGTATCAAACGTCTGTTAAGGTCACCAGGGCTAACAGTAGGAAACACATCAGTCTGGGCACATGCACCAAGCACACTGGCTTTGTTTGTCACAGCCAACTCTGGAATATTTCCTCACATTTGTAGACAAAAACAATGACGGCCTGATTTGAACTTGATGTTTTTTCTGGCTTTCAAATTAGCACACAGCTGGAATCTCACATGCTCTGTAGCTTTCTGCACCATAATGTTATTGGGTGCAAACCCTGTAAATCTTCATCTTTGGCATTGTTGATTGCTGTTGGATGGAGACAAATGTGTCTTGTGCTGGACACCTGGAAATCAGAAGACCCGTGTCCACCAAGCTGTAAACAAGGCAGTTTGTCTTCATTTAAAGGTGCCGTAGAATGGAAAATTGAGTTCAGTACATGGAACTGACATACTGTGAGTCTCAATCACCATTGTTTTCTCCTTCATATGTAAATTTCGCACATGTAGAAGATCCCAGAAAAAAGGGCCATTGCCAACCAATGCTAGTTTTGATGTAACATCTGGGATCATTAATATTTACGCCCCCAAAGTTTACATATACCAGCCCCAGTCCTGAGAAGCGGTCATACAAGCTCATCGAGCAAGAGCTGGTTCAGTATGTCTCAGAAAGTGCTTTTACAGTTCTGAAGGAAAGGGAAATATTTTTTGGTTTTCCCTCTGATGTCCTCTGACTGCTCTGCCTCAGCTATGTGATTTGTAAAGTTTCCAGATGAACAGATAGCTTTACTTCAGTTGCTAGCATCTGCTAACAGATGCTAGCAACTGATCAACTGGCTCTGAACACCGGTCCAAAGCTTCTGTACTAATGTTAGATGTGTAAACACCAACACACCACTGGAGCACCAAGCTTCCAGTCCAGGCAGAATCAGCAATGGGACGGCAGTTAAATACCAGACAATATTTTCTCCATTAAATCTGATCCAGTTTCAACAAAACCAGTTCTAAAGTTGTGTTTTTGTACAGTAATCAGTGAGGCCTAGTCTCACATTGCAGGCCGTGATTCAGCGTGGTGCAGCTAGTTGGCCAATCAGAAGCAAGTGGGTTTTCAGGGAGGGGGTCTTAAAGAGACAGGAGGTAAAACAGAGTGTTCATACAGAGGGTGAAAAAAGAGGCTGAAGCAGAGGACAGTATGATAAAAATAATGTGCTCTTTGAACATTAAAAGCATGAGAACATTTTCTAGTAGAAATCCCAAATGCAAGGATAAACCTGAAGCTGAGTATTCTACATCACCTTTAACATAGGGTGACCAGACGTCCCCGTTTTTCAGGGACAGTCCCCGGTTTTGGTGGCCTGTCCCCGTCTGGAGCTGTCCCCAGAAATGTCCCCGTTTTTATCTGTGCGTTAATCATAGACTGTATAAGGTGTTAACAGACCTAAAATCAGATTTTACGTGGCCAGAAAGACTGGACAGCAGAGCAAACGAAAAGTGACGGTCCGCCGAAATCTAATTACCGTGCAGTATGTTAAAGCTGTATCACCTGTATCAGCTGTATCGTCTATTTATGACTACAGCTGCATCTGGGTCAAACAGACATAACGTGCAAATAAGCATCACTTTATGTCCGTGGTAATGGAAAAGGTATGTGTTTTGTGATACTTACGTTTCCTTTTAACGTAATAATCACAGTTGTGGCCAAATAAGCGTTTGCAGTTTATAACGTAACCAAACATGACATTTATGTGATTATAGGGATTAATAGAAGCCTGTTGTTACCGATGGAATATGAACATGACTTACTGCTGAGTTATATATATAAAATAAAGACATGATCTTTTTTGCAACTATCCTTATGACTCTACATTATTTAACTTGCTGTGTACCACCCAATCCAGTCCTTTTTACCTTTTAAAATACCTTTAAATGGCCAAAACAACACATAAAATGTAGTATTCTACTTGACAGAAAGTGACTACAGCCTCTACTTATTGACTGAAAGGTAGTTTCTGCCCTGAAATGACTTGATTTCATTCATGAGGGTTATATTTAACAGATTATGAAACCGCAATTATACCACTTTTTTACATCATATATAATAACATATTTTTTATGACATACTGACCACCAAACCAAAAATTTCCCCAGTTTTGATTTCAGAAATCTGGTCACCATACTTTAACAGTGAAAAGAGTGATATGTTATTTATATCCAAAGAACTCTGCTGTTTCTTGCGCACATGAGAGAAGCAGTCAAAAGTAGCCTGAAGCTCCCCCTCCCTTCCGTTTCATTCCCCCTGCTCTGTGTTGTTGTATCTGTCCTCATCTGTTGCAGAGTGAAATAAAGCGCATGGTAAGCCACATGGTTGGGATGCTGCAAAGCTGTGATGCCATTGGCTCACATGTGACAATTCTGGCCAACAGGACTTGGAAGAACATACAAACATAGGGGGTAAGAGTGTGGGGTTGCTCTACAGTTTATGATGGCAGCACATTTATGACATCGGCCATATGCTCAATCATGAATCTCTGCTGGCGATAGACCTCTGCATGCACACACACACACACACACACACACAGAAGAACAGACAGATGATACAGCACAGCTGCTCTGGCTGTGTGTGCAGTGCAGTGTGCACTGCTGTGCAAAATACAAATGATGCACATTTAAAGAGGCACTCCACCGATTTCAATGCGCATGTGTGGGAGTGTTGTTCTTTATTTAATCTTTCTCAGTTCCCCAATACTAAATTGCTGAAGTGCCCCTTTAAACAATATGATGAGGTTGTCAAACCACAGAGGTGTGTGATCTCACTGGGAGGCTACGAACATTGTCCATCCATCCATCATCAACCGCTTGCGTACAGGGTCGCGGGGGGGCTGGAGCCAATCCCAGCAGACATCGGGCGCAAGGCAGGGTACACCCTGGACAGGTCGCCAGTCGAACATTGTCCTCCTTTAAGAATATGTATAGTTCACTATTAACAAGTGAAGGCAAGAGCAGAATGTCACATTTTGCCAAGCGTTAACACAGGAATAAAGGGATTTGGACCCAAGTGCAGAACATACAGGCGGAGCAACTGCTGTTTCTAGTGTTTATTAAGAAATAAATTAAAAGGGTGCACAAGTTTACGGGACTATGAGGCAGGTGAAGATCAAAACCAAGTAAGCAGTCCAAGTCCATAGTCCATAAAGATTTCCAGAACACAGGTAAACGCTTAAGACCGGCAGAGAAAATTGATAAACTCTCA